TTCCATAATCATCCAGAGTTTCTATTATTTATTAAAATTGAAGTTGAGAATATGATGTTTTGAATCCCATTTTATTCATTTTTCTTCTCAGGATTCTATAAGCTATTTTAGTTTATTTCCCTATATTATCTCAAATGTAGATTAGTACTATTCTAGAATAGGTCCTTTACATATTTTTTGCAAAAGTTTAAGCATTCACTAATTTCTTATTTCTCTTGTTTCATAGTCAATTAGTTGATCTATATAAATTAGCTTGTTGTTTTTGAGTAATGAAATAACTTTCTAATACTTTTTCAATGACAAGTATTCTTTAATTGAACTATTTTCTGATTTTATTCAAAAATGATATTTTATTTTAACTTTGAAAAGTGATACCTATGTTCTTGGTTAGCTTCAGTACTTATAGCATAAAGTTACTCCTTTTTGAAAGATAATTCAATAAGCTGTAAATAAGCAGGTTGTTAGATTTTCAGTATTTGACCTGTACTTACTTGAGTCTAATAATTGTTATAGTTCCAGTTGGTCCTAAATTATTTAACATATTGTCTAGTCCTGTTATTGAATTTTCTTTTTGTAATATCCAAATACTTTTTAAGCTATAAATCTTGAAATAATATATTATATTGTTGAATATTGATCAATATAGTATGATCTTATTTATTTATATATATATTACTTGTTTATTGTATATAATATAGTTGAATTAACACATGTTATTACTTTGAGTTAACTTAATATATCTTGATATTGTTGATTCATTACATCTAGAATGTATTTATTCTATATATTGGTATTTGTATAATATGAGTAAATAGATTAGTTGTTGTGAGTGTTTTGATATTGATATTTATTATTTAACCTAAGAAACCTAAATGTCCTTCTAGGTTTTTAAGCCCTGAACTTGAACTGATTTGTTATTTTGAATTATTGTTTCTGAAACTTCTTTTAGTATCTAAAAAGATGTTAGTCTATACTGGCTTGACTAAAAGCTTTATGGAATTGATATTGAGTTTCAAGAAGTTTATTGTAAATCATTTTATCTTTGCTTTCTTTTCTTCCTAAAGCAAATAAAAAATTAAAGACTATTGTTATTAATTGGCAATATCCTTTTCTTGTTATCAAAAGTTAGCTATATATTATCTGAAGAAAGGTTATTGTAATCTCTCCTTAAAGTTATTTCTTGTGAAAAGTGTTTTCTTAAGAAAATTACTATAAAAGAAAAATTTTTAAAAATTTGAGAATCAGTAAAAAGAGTTTTTTTATTTTTGTATCTAAATTGTTGTTTAATCTTTAAGTATTATTATGATAATATTAATGAATTGAGCTAAAAATATGATTTTATATTTAAGTAAAGATGAAATGGTTTTTTTATATTCTCTATTATCATATAATATAGACTTGATAGATAAAATATCATCCTAATTGTCAAAAGTTTTTTTATATTTTTAATTTTGAAATATAATTTGTAATTTTTTTATTAGAATTAATATTACAATTGTAAAGTTTTCTTTAATTAATTTGTTTAATTTTATAAAGATTGTTCAAAATATTTTTAGATTCCTAGAAATTGATCTGACTTTATTTCAAATAAATTATTATGATAATATTAAAAATCTTATTGTTATTAAGTTAATAGAATAGAAATAATATAGAATTTTCCAATTATATTTTTCAAATATTTTTAAGATTATATATATTTTTATTATGAATACAATTATTTGATATTGTTCTATAAACTAGAGTTTTATTCTTGAATACTTTTTATATATAGTTATAAGATTATTACATATTTTTTTATTGAAATATATATATTATATTTTATATAGGATTCTATTAATAATATATTAAATATATATTGTATATATATATATATATTTATTTAAAAAAAAAATCAAATCTATTTGATCCTCTGACTATATACAAAAAGGATGTTTGCAAGAAGTTTTTATACTTCCTTACTAATAAAGTCTTATATTATATTAATTGAAATAGCAATAAAAGAATTCTATTCAGTTAAATTTAATAAATATTATATATTAAGATAATTGTGATATTTTATATTTGAAAAAATATAAAAGTATCAAATCAAATTGATATATTTAAATGCTATTCTCTTTATATGGTATATTCAAAAATAATTTTATTTGTTTATGTTCTTTTTAAAACTTGTATATTGATACTTTTATTTGACTTTATACCAAATTATAAAATAGCAAGATTCTACTTGGAACCTTGTATGGGAAAAAATGAAAGAAGAACATATCTGGAACACTTTCTTTAAACAATCACAGCAAAAAGCTTTCTCATAAAACTAATGAATAATGTGCTACCAACTTTGAACAAGCTGGTAACTAGAAGGTCTGACCTTTACAAACAAGTGAAATATATTGCATATAGTCAGCAAAGGGAAACTTTCAAACATTTATTAGAGTGTTCAGCATACAAGAAACAATTACAGGAAGCATGGAATAAAGAACAAGATAGGATCCTTAGAAACTTTAGAGGGCTCTTACGAGAGAGGAAAAAAAAAGCAGAAGAAAAACATGCAAGGTTGATTATCTATGACGAAGAAGAAATGGCTGAGGTGAATAAATGGATCTCCAAACTGATAGAATAGACCTTAAAAACCAATCAGGACACTCTAAGTTTTTGCACAGGGCTAGTAATAAGAGACTTAATCCTAAAAATGATAGATTTGAAATGTTATGGAAAAAGAATTGGTAATAACGCAAGAAGATAGATATCAAAAATGCAAAGAAGAGTATGCAATCAAATAAGGAAAAAGATTTGGAACAAAAGATGTGAGAAGATAATTGAATAGGAATATTCACAGGGGATTCACAGAGTAGAAAAAATCAACCGACTCTCAGGTACACACAGTTTAAAACCATCAATCCCCAAAAGTAAAAATCCTTTACCAAAAAAAGGAATTTAAGAAAATGAAAGCCTGAAAGAAATTCTACTCAAAGATGTTATTTATAGAATAAAGTGATTGGGTTTTAAGCTAGGTCAAAACAATGGATAGTGATCTGCAGTAGTAATTTGCGGGCAATAATGTTAAAGGTTGGAAGGGTCTTCACCTAAACCATTAACGAAGTGATAAATCACTTCTGAAGTTGCACTTAGAGTTTTGATATATTAAGTCAAAACAGTGATAAGTGAGTTAGATAAAGTCTTAGCTTTAGCGAATCATTTAAAATGTATAGTATACAAATGTTTAATAAAACACATGTACCTAACCTGACCTAGGGTATTTAAAAAAAAAAAAATTTTATTTGACTTTATTTATATCTTCAATTGAATCATCATGTTTTATTTTTTGCTAAAATTTCAATCTTTCAATAAAACCCCATTAATGGCATTTAAAAAAATTTTATGTACTTAGTTTTTGATATGAATGAAAAAAAAAAAAACCAATTAAAATGAGTTATTGTTAATAAAAAAAAAATTTTTTTTTTTAAGAATTTTCTAAAACTCTAATAAATATGATATGGATATTTATTATTCAAAAAAAAAAAAATTAAAAGTTTACAATAAAATTACAATAAAAAAAAAACCAATAATTCAATTGTATGTTTAAAAAAATTGATTGAATAAGATTAAAATTGATTGATTAAAGAATTAATAATTGATAATATTCTTGATTAAATATATATACTGCTGATTAAATTTTGGATTAAAAAAAAAAAAAAAAAAAATCATTATCAATAAAATATTAAAAAACGATTCATTTGATGTGCGAATTGGTGGAAAAAATATTAGTCAATAAGTTACAGGAACTGATGGTGGTAAAAATTAATGATTGATAAATTGACTGATTAGGTTAATGGTATTATTTTTGGGTGAATAGGATCGGTGATTGATTGTTACATGAAATAGTTAAAGTTTATTGAACCATCTATTCTCATTACAATAATAAAATTATTTCGGTCTTATTATTTTTACGCAGCATTGTAAAAAATTTATTCCAACTAGTGCATTGGAAAGAATACAACAGTACATATTTAAAATTTGTAATGATAAAAGAAACAACAATGTTTTGAATAGATATGAGGTCTGAAATGCATCATACAAAAAAAAGAGAATTCCTAATACATAATAGATTGTATATACTGTATTGTATTTTAGTTCTTTTGAGTGTCAATTTATTGATTTCAAGAAAGCGTACCCAAAAGGCGTGATCATTGAAGGTGCATCATTTATTTTTTAATGGTTATTTTGAGAAAAAAAATAAGATAATTTAGGCATTAACCGTTTTCCGGTGGTGAAAGATAATCGAAGCATCGTGTACGTAATGAAAAAAAAAAAATTACTATTATAGAGATTAAGATTTTGCCTATTCCTTTTTTTTCTGACTAATTGTGATATATGGGTTTCCGTAAAAGTCCAAGTTACTTGGGTGCATACAGTATTTATGACGGACGAATTGGTTTTCTTCTTATGCATTCGGATCAGATTTCTATAAGGAGCCAAGTATAGTCGCCCATCAATTTACATCTTTGAATCTCTTCTTTTACGCTTTGCTCTAATGTTAACATTCAGAATCGCACATTCGACTTACCACTTATGGAAGTTCAAAATCAAAACCGCCTCCGATTGAGATGCGCTCACTTTGTCATTCCAAAGAGTATTCAAGGATCAACACCGCGGCCATCATGAGGTCGAATTTGGATTATTTAGGGAACATTACAAAGCAAAGAAAATGTTCGCGGATTTTCTCCTTCTGAAAGGCACGGCAAATAAAAAAGGCCTTTGTTTCATTGAATTATATTAAAACGGGTTCATTGTTCGGGTATATGAATGATATTTGTTCATCAAGTTACACTGCCTACCTGTCACGCGCACGCACTCAAGATCTGATTGAGAACTCGTCCGTTTTATGATTCGTGACGTGCGGCCCATCAATCCTAAAGCAGGAACCACACAAGTTTTTTTTTTTAATGACATACGAATGCTACAAATGAAAGAGACAGCGACATCTTTTCACTGTGCATAAATGAATGGAGAAAGTAAAGAAGGGCCATTTCATAATGAAGAAGAGATGGGCACGGGGTCGTAGGGCGTTCGAGAAAATCAAGGTCATGTCTCAAAAGAAGGTGAACTTGTTGGGATGGAAACGCCACAACCCAAGATCTCTAATAACGGATAGCCGGGTAGAGGAGTAGCCATTTGGCGTTTTTTTTTTTTTTTTTTTTTTTTTTTTAAACGGAGAAGTGATTATTTCCCATAATTGTTTATGATTGCGAATGAGCGTTCTACGGATGCGCGTTTATGTCTATGACGGTGATGATTACAATGACCGATTAAAGAACGTTAAATGATCCGTAGCACGATCATAAACTTTATCATCATGCGCATTCATTTTAGCTTAATTCCGCCTGAAAACAAGTCATCAATCCGAGCAATTCATTCGTAAGAATAATGCAGGTAACATGTGACGCACTCCCGAACCCTAAATTCTCGTACGCACATACGTACGTACCTCATGATGAGGAAATTCTAATCAACCGGCGCCACATATTTTTTTTTTATAAAAAAAGAAAGAAAAGAAAAGAAAAAAGTAAGTAGGATATGATTGTTTATTTTCGTGTTCGGATTAACTTTTACAAATTTTGCTACCGTCATGTGTGTTACATCGACACCATCATGACTATACCTAATTAATCTAACAGTCCTGCTATCATGGTATTTACATACGCATACGCACATACGTACATATCGTTATCGCCATCAGGATAAACGACCTATGCGATGAGTGCATGCGAGCCTCTTTATTAATATGGACAAAAAAAGTAAGAAATTTCTTGCATCGCATGTATGAGAGAAGGAAAGGGAACCACCAAAAGACGCATTCACAAAATTACTTCATTATCATTATTAACTAAACACATCATTTGCAGTTGTGATACGGGAGATGAAGTGCGTTTATTGCGATAAGTTTTGCGGGGTCTGGAGATTGCAAGATGTTGTTTACGTGAATTAGCGTTTTTTTTTTTTTTTTTTGGTGGAACTATCGTACTATCGTTCAATAAACGGTCATGCTGAGTAAACAGAGGAAAAAAAAAAAAGCACAGTTTATCTTAAATTATGATGTATTGGGAAAGGGTGTTCAAAAATTTGTATGCAATGAGTAAATGAAGTCAATTTGGAATTGAATAAAGTTGGTCGATGAGTATAAATTGAATGAATCACCAATCGAACCGATGGCACATTGGCCTAGGAAGAAAGTTGGTGATTGTAAACGCACTTTGCGCACAACGGACGTTCAATATTAAAGGAGAAAAAAAATGAAAATAATTATAATTACTGTATAATGAAAAAAAATACCAATGATTCTCCCCCCGTCAGTGGTGAATAAGATTAATTTGTTTGATTCACAAACTTATAGATCGAATATTGTGCTGCCTTTTTCCGTGTCTTCATCCGATACTTGTTATGGAACTTTCCCTATTCCTCCGTCAATTAAAACAAATTGCACAAAATGTCGAGAAAATTTTGTGTGATAACATTTTTTTGCTCGCACAACATACATTTGCTGCACGAAAATTAGATGGTTCCCGTATGATATGCATAATGTGTTGTCAAACGTTATCGCGAAGACCTGTGCGCACGTACAATAATTGATCGAAATATTTGTTACACCTTCTCGAACTCGGTGAAAAGGGGGGAAGGGAGAGGGAGGGAGGGAGAAAGATTGGAATATTTTACACGCATAAAAAAATGCGATTGATTGATTAACCGATTGATTGATTGATCAATCGATTTGATGATTCCCTTCGTCAATGGCATTGCAAAAAAAGGGTTGAGACAGGATCGTTAATAATAATAATAATTGGTAATATTAAAGAGGGATCGACAATAAATTGAATGAGTAAAAAAACAAAGATGCATCTTCAAAGACATTGTCCGATGCGTTGTGGCAGTCACAAGGCAAATTCACCCAAAAAAGGAAGTGGGTTTTTTTTTAATGCAGCATAGGTTTACGTTGCGACAATAAACAATACACAACATTCTACTACGCGCGCATACACACATGCTAGGAAATGAAAAAAAAAAAAAATAATTTTTTGTTTCCTCTATACATAATAACGATTGAAACAGGTGCACGCTGGTGTGACGCCGGTGCGATGGCATGATGTCGATGAGTTGAATTAAAGCAGCGAGAGTTATAATACTGCCGAACGTCATGCTAACCTCATTGGGGAGATAGACTGATGTTCTCTCCAGAAGAATCGTGGATCGGCAAAGAGTGTATGCGCGCCAGTTGTCACTTCCGACGCCCGGGAGTCGAGCAATCTTTATTACTTTTTGAGCGTGACCCAAATATTGATCAGACTCATAATAGGCAGTTGTCAGGCCACCATCGTCTCTTTTATGCGGCGACTTGTGTAGGAACCATCTGTGCAATCGATGAATAATAATAAGCGTTGTAGTCGAATTGGCTTAATGCATTCTTTTTTTTTTTTTTTTTGTGTGGGAAAATATGTACTCGTGGCAGGTGTTATGAGAGCTTGGGAAACGAAAAAAAAGAGAGGGAGAGTACAAGGGGAGGACGAGTGCGTTGTTACCGATGTTTCTCTTTCATTCTTTTCCCTTTGTCACTATTGCATTGCCTTTTTTTGACCTGTGACATCCAGTAGAATTCATTAGAATGAAAAAAAATGATTAAGCGAACACAAAATTCCACGCTTTTTTAATAAAACCCGGTTCAAGTGTTTGTGTGCAAGGGGTCGTTGCGCACATCCGACATTCAAGAATATCTTTACGCATACACCCTCCAAACACACACACGCGCGCAATTCACAATCATAATTCACAAGAATATCTTTACAAACAACACATCAAAAATGAAAAGGTGTATCATGATATGGTACATTACAAAAAAAAAAAAAAAAAATGGAATAATGTGGGTTTTGTGCTCCGTTACCGTTTTACCATCGTGCTCATACAATCCGCGACTACTGTATATCAAGATTTCATAATTTGCCGCCTGTCCCCCCCTCCCTTCCCCTTTCTCCACAGAGATCGATTTCGTAAAACGACAAAATGACTCCTCTCGCGCATCGAACAATGGAAATTGTTGTTGAACTTTCAAACGAGGATCTTCCTTCTCCCCCCTTTTTTTCGTTTATGAGTCGATGTGCGCCTCCTTTGTATGCATCCAGATTGCATAGCTGATTGACATTATTGATTATATGATAATATTATCTTTTTTTTATTATACCCAATTTATTATTGTTTATTATTGTTGCTATTATTCGCTATTGTAAAAATAAATCAACTTTCTTTTACGTCCTCAGGGTCATCCGCATCTACCATACCGTAAGTGTTTTATTACTAATATGCTTTTTTTGTCGATGTTACACCAGCCATATCCGATTAATGAAAAAAAAATGTTTTTTTTTTTTTTTTTCACCAAGTGTACATACAGTATATGTATAGAGAAGGAATCCCTGCATTATGATTCTCATGTGGCAAAATATCTAATCAGAAGGAACAACTTTTATTTCATGCGCTCATCTCACTCGTCTCAATCTCTTGTTATCGATAGTTGCGGAATTCTTTTTCCTTTCGTCCATTCGCACATTCAAGGAAGAGGGGAACCGTTTCATCACCGGAAAAGCTCTATCGCATGACAAGAAAATACACGCGCGGGGAAAAAAAAAGGAAACAAGCTTGAAACTCGACTTACCATGTTCGGGTGGCTTAGGTTTTTTTTTTTTTTTTTTTTCTCGGCGACAGCGAGTGGCAAATGATGGGTGGAGAAGGGTTGACACGTCGGCCGTCGTCTATTGACCAAAGAGTAGTATCTGTAATAGCCAACGACCGAACGGCCCATGATATCTTTATTTTTCTTCTCTCTCTCTCTCTCTTTTCCTTCCTTCACTCCAATGTTTGCTTTTCACATGACAATTCCAGCGACGAAAAAAAAAAAAAAAAACCAAATAAATAAATAATAAAAATAAGATAAACATCTAAATTAGTTTCAGCCCTATGTTTGAGGGATTCCTTCGAAGGACGGATTTGTGGTCTCGATTAAGGAAGAATCTAAAAATTTCAATCCATTTTCGTCACTAATCTTCTCATGCATCAAACTCCATATGGTCGCGCTGATTGCACGATATTTTCTTTCGCATAAACACCCTCCTCTCTTATTTTTCCTTTCTTGCGCTCGTCCCTTTTTCCCGAAAGGAAAAACGGATTTCCCAAGTTAAACTCGATTAAGCTTAAATTAATGACCTCTGAGAATCGTGAAAAAAAAAAAGCCAACGAAGGGCGTAGGGGAAAAGGTTGATAACTTCATAAAATCGGCGGTCCACACTGTTGATACTAATTTCTACCTTAACGTGTTTACGTTAATGAGCCGGCACTGAATTTGCGGTGACAAAGAGGGATGGATGTGCACTTTGCAACTGTACCACCCACCGACTCTTCTTTTCGCACCAAAAAAGCAATGAGATCATATAAATCCTGACCACATTCAAAACCTTCATCATAATAACAATAATAACAGAGGGCGACACGGCCTTTCCTAATCGGGAACATAGGAACGAGAGTTTTGAAGGAGCACAAGGACATTTAACCGTTGTATTGTGTGTGGGTGAGTGCAAAAACTTGTGCGATACAAGAATTATCTATTCAGGTAATTGACCAAGGAATATACAACAAGGGTCATTCAAGGGTTTTTTTTTTTTTTTTGTTTTAATATAAAGCGTGTGTATACATACGCAGAAGAATGCTAACAGTTTTAGGGGCGAAAAGAGGACCTTGTGATCCGTTGTAGTTGCAATTCGGAAACATATCCAATGTGTCCAGTAACTGATAAACAGCAATTTCGTGGATGTTTTTTATATGTCGTATGACGGTGGAAATTAAATTAACATCAATAAATTCATCACTGATAAAGTTGGAAAGTTACTTTAATTTCTACGCAATGCGTAAGTTCGGCATGATGATGATATTCCTTCCGTCTGACCAGGTTACTCTATCAACTTTTTTTTTTTACTGTTTGAATATAAATAATGCTTGATAATTGGTATTTTGATGTACTGTGGATGGTCACGCGAGATCCAATACCTCTATGTTGTCGCCGAAATTTCATATTTTATATTGTACACGTACAGTATATAAAATAACGAAATAAAATAAATATATGTAGATATGTTTTTCTATTTCCTATGGTTTTGCTGCACATCGCCTGTCCGGAACTTGATTTTAGAAAATTAAGGGATTCTTTTGCGTGACCAATCAAAACCTTAAACTGAAACTGGAAATCTTCACTCATATCATTCGCCTATGACTAGTGGTGCCTTAGCGAAAAAAAAAAAAAAAAAAAAAAAAAAAAAAAACTCCCCAAAATCCTGGTCTGCTATCCATTGGTGGTCACTCCGGATCCATCCATCAAACAAATATACAACGTGAGATTTCGTTAGGTTTATTTTAATTTTAATTTTAATTTTAATTTTTTTCCCTCCTTTCAACTACTCTCCAGAGTTTCCTCGAGCCCAAAAAAAGGATCATCGGTAATTATTTGTGAACTCGTAAAAGGTGAGAGAGTGACACCTTTTTTTCTTACCTAGTTTCCACCAGTGATCTCGGTATACAAACCTATTCCTTAGTGTTCTGTGCACAGCTGCTGCTGCTGTCAGTCAGTCAGTCGGTCGGTCGGTCGGTCGGTGTGTCGCAAGGAGGATTCACCATAATTCCACCCAACCTGTTCTTATAAATTTTTTTGATAGAGCGCGCGTCCCTTTCGAAATCGCACCGTCGACACCGACGTTTTCCAATAACGTCGATTTACAACAACAAAAAAAATTTTTTTTCTATTAAATCGAAACCGAATTCATTTTTTATATTATTATTATTATTATTATTATACAATACACACATATATAAATATAATATATATATATATACACACATGTATATAACAAATATAATATAATATACATATATATGTATACATGTACATATATATATACATGACTTTCCTTGGTATTCCCACTGCACAAAAATTCGGTTGCTCACACCCGCGTGCACGACTTTTGTTATACGTTTGTAGTTCGAGAAACTTTCCGTCCACCTTCTAAACAAAGCGCGCGCGCACACTCCACTATCTATTAACCGATATCACTGTCAATAATAACCACAACGACAAACACCACCAACTAATAACGCACGCCTACAGAGACTATGATCACTGAAGAAAAGTGGCCTATCCAACAGCAACCGCAAGTTTCACCCTCTACTCACCATCCACATCCAGCAATGTCTCCGACACAAATGAGCGGGATGCCCCCCGAAAGCTACATGCAACCCTTCCCGTATGACGGTCAAGCCGCGCCAGGACAGATGCACACCCAACCAATGTAAGTCGAAGGCACGTCACTTCACCGAAAGTGATTTTTTTTTTTTTTTTTTTTTTTTTTTACATTACCTAGGTAGATAGGTGGTTTGGATCACTAGATATCGTGCACTCCTACATATTTTTCACGTCATAAATCTTTGTGCGCGAAATATCATGGTAGAGTGTGCGTATAATAAATAATTAGATGCCACCACCACCGCTCGCGTTTGATCTTGTGCACTGGTGATATTTGCTGGTTTTAGGTTACGCACGTTGTAGGTTTCTTTCTAGCGCGTGTTACCTTACACACGGAACACCGTGTGTATCGATCCATTTGGTTTTTTTCTCGCCGCCTACCTCCTTCCTTTATCCTTTTCTTCACCGCCACCACAACCTTTTTCTCCCCGCGTGCATACATATTTTCTTCTACCCTCAACCCGCCCACTCAATAATTACATTAATAACAATTACTGGTGATAGCTTCGGTGGTATACCCTTTAATAACACGTTTCCCCCATTACCATTAGCGACAATGTTTCCATTTTTCACTAGGCCAATTGATGGCTCTTATGCTAACATAATGATGGTACCACCGAAACATGAATTCGCTTCTATCCCTCAGAATAGTCAGACCTCATTTCAAAGGTAGTTGAAATAATAATAATAATAATAGTAATAGTAATATAATAATAATAATATATCGACGCAGGCATTCGAAAGAAAACACCGATGCATTATAGGTGATGGTGGTGGTGTTATTATTATTACACTGTCCAGAGGATGAGCGGTGCACTAAATTGAAAACTAATCCAAGAAAAAAAAAAACAAAACAAAGACATATATATATATATATATATATATATATATAACAATAATAATAATAATAATAATAATATATGTATATTACATACTAATAAGTCTCAATTTATGTTAAATCAACAACGATAGCTTCGTACCGATGTCTCGACAGAATGGATCTCCAACTAGCAACTCCAGCTCAACGGCGAATCCCTCCGTCGATCGTAAGACTATTGAGAATCGTCCGGCGTTCACCACGACATCTTTTCACGCTGCCTCATTTCAACATGGTGCCGGGGTGAGGAAACGAAGGCCTGATGCTATGGGTTTTCAGGACGCTGGCCCATTCTTTTCGATGACACATCAGCATTATAATATTCACAGTGTGGACAGGTCCATCAGGTGCGTTGTTTTGTCATGTTGCTTGCCCCAAATTCTCTTATTTCGTTGCATATCTATTTTTCACCATCATCCGGACTGTTCGCTAATTTGCCATCTTCACGTGATTCCCCGCTCGTCACTTTTCATCCCCTCTTCGTTCGTCAAACAGTTACAAACTTCAAATTAATTCCAAGGTTGACCGTGGTTTTTTCTTAGCAGATAATGATTGGACGTGTTATCGAAGAAACTATTTTCAGATTAGTAGCGCATTCTCCTTCGTGACCACACATCCGCTTAACGAATCCGACATACCGTGCCTCATCGAGGTCGATGGACAATTTCATCCTGTCACCGGCTTCCAGTTGGGTATCACAGCACGTGTCTCGAACAGCGACAAGAAGATCGAATTGGTACAACACACTCCGAAGCGTGACAAAGGTCCGCAAATGGTCCCAATGCCAAAATCAATTCGTGCCGGTGGTAACTTGAACCTAAGCTCTGTTGGATCGAACTCAAACATCGTTACCTTTGAGCGTATTCAATTCAAAACAGCCACCGCCAACAACGGCAAACGTCGTGCTGCCCAACAATACTACGTGGTGGTCGTGGACCTCTACGCGCAAATTGAGAACGGTGAGCAATTACAAGTGGCCAGTTCAACTTCCGCTCCATTGGTGGTGCGTGGGCGTTCTCCTGGTCACTACGCCGATAATCATGAGAATCGCTACAACCCGATGGCCATGAACCCGGCATACCCAAACGATCGACACATGGGTTTCCCGCATCCACAGGGACCGAATGGTACGGTGATCCCACAGGATTTTAGCGGAGCCCCTTTTCAGGGTCCGTATGGGCAGTACCCACCTTTCCCGAACTTTCACGGAAATCTGATGATGACCGGTGGCGGATCGAACGGACAAGCCCCCCCGTTCCACCCACAGCATCCACATCAACAGTACATGGTACCAAGTATTTCGGATTCAAGTGAACAACAAAACTCGGAGATGTACAGTGACCCTGGTAGCATGGTGAACGGTTCGCATGATCAAAAGATGCATTCGAGCCATGGGCAGATGGAGATGCATATGGACGGCGTCGGTGCCACGTCATCCTCCCATTCCGCCTTCTCAAATTTCGAACCACGACAGCTTCCAACATCAGGTGCAAACTCAAATTCTGCATCAGGTGGTAAGCCTTTCATGAAAATTGAGATTCCACAACCTTCAGGACTATCCGAACACCCTCTCACATCACCCGCGTATCACTCACAAGAATACATGGATGGAATCCACATGTATCCCAACGGGGGACATCCTGCAAATAACGCATCGGCACACCACGGCGGCTACCATTCAGACAATGAACAACACCACAGCAACGGATTAGGTAACCATGTTGGTGGACGGCAACCGAGGTCAGATGGTGCTCCGGAAAATGGACAACACCATTCACCATCACTCAACGGGGTCGAAAAGCCGGAACACGGAGGATCAAAGTCACCGCCATCAGTGAATAGCAATACCACGACTCCCACGACGGAGTTAGGTAAAGGACTTAGTCAGTTGAATTTTCGCATGAATAAATTGGAAGCCGATGATAAACTGTAAATGACAAAATATGGACGATTTTTTTTTTTTTTCTGCTTTATTCGCCTCTATTTATTTTTTTTGTCTGGCTGTTATTATTCATTTTTGGGTGATGTTTTGGGTGGTTTTTCATTTTGAAAAAAAAAAAAAGTTTACCTTCAAGTAAAGTGTATTTTTGCATGCACCTTACATTGTATAATTTTGGGGGCTTTAAATTTTGGTTTTTTTCCTTAAAAATTCGAAAAAAGGGGTTTATTTAGTGCACGCGTGAATTTCCTTCTTTATTTTTTATTTTTTTCCTTCCTTTTCTTTATTGCACCTAGACACAAGAAAATAGAAAATCACCAAAAAAAAATATTTTTATGGATCTAGCATCACTATTATATATTTGTAAACTTTTCCTCTTTGCATTATACCTACTATATATAATTCCTTTTCCTTTCCTTTTTTTTTTTTTTTTTCCTTTTTTTTTTTTTTTTTTTTTTTTTTTTTTTTTTTTTTTTTTTTTTTTTTTTTTTTTTTTTTTTTTTTTTTTTTTT